CATTACAGTGGCATGCATGGTACGATTCTAATAAAAATTACAGGTTACCACAGCTGAGGAAGATTGGAAATGCCGTTTGCACCCACCCGCTCTACCAACTGACGAAATAACCTGGATATGTTCAGAATGCGGAGATTGGATGTGTAAACCTAGCGTAGAATTGCCAAAGATCAACATGACCCTGCACGAAGCACTCCAGAATCCCGTTTTAGGAATATCTGAGCCGTTATGCGACGATCTGGTGGTATGTCTATCGAACCCGAGGTATCAAGTACTCAGTTGATACCTGCCTTGGGACGACCTCCATAGAATTTGCAAAATGTACTTGCATGACCCGCAGAATGCTAAGAATTTAGTCACTGAGCTGAAATTTGTTGACATAGATTACTCTATGTTTAAAAATATCAAGACAGAACCACTGGATGAGCTTGCTGGTATTGAGAGAGGATACGAACAGTATTTAGATCAGAATTTTGTTTCTGATGAAGAATCGCCGTCAAATAGCGAAGATTCGATGTCACAGGACTCACGACCGTACAGTCTTGGAAGTGACGGTGCCGGAGACTTCTTTTTACCGTTACTGAATACACTACCGAAAAAATCGATCCCACGACCTTCAAAACCCTGAGAGAATTTAGACCGGCATTAAAAAGGCACAAGGATAAGGATTCGAACGAAGGCACGCCTGAAAAACAGTTCAAGCCTTCTTCTAGCGAACCTCAGCCTTCGACTTCGACAGCCACAGATGAGTCAAAAAACGTAAAACTTGCCACATTGCCCAACTTCGTGGGCAAGTGGCAAAGGAAATGAAAGTAATGAAAATAACGCTAAAGGATATATTAAAAAAATTACATCAGAAAACAGAAGAATCCATGGAGCAACAACCTCTCAAGGAGATAGTATCTGTAAAACCAACAGAAACATTGAACAAAGAAACACAAAACAGGCTCTCGTTCAGTTCATCCAGAAAAAATCTGGATATCAGCAGCTCTCAGAAGAAAGTTCTCATAAGCATACCCAA